TTTTGTGTGTGTTGAAAGGGCTAAAATACTAAGTTTTTCAGCTCCATTAGTTGGCTGTACACAACCTCAAGAAATAACCAATTTTAACTAGTTCATATCATGAGATGCAAATATGTGCAAAAGTATAACAGATAAGTATATCAGATAATTACCAAAGAACTTTATTTCATTTGATCACCTTAGTTGTACACGTGTTATATTTGCACAAATATTGCTGTTCAATTTATGGAAAAAAAAGAATATTTTAAATGTTGTATTTGTGCAATGAATAATCTTTCTATGAGAAATCTCTAACAGAAAATAGTGAGTGAGTAATTTTCTATTATATGAACATACACAAGAAGATAAAAGACAATTAATCCTTATATTCAGGAGAGATATACCAAGCCTCGCTCACGTGCTCTGTCATTGAACCAAGGCACAAAGCACAAAGAGCCATGCAGGACTGCCAAGGAAGAGTGCGAATGAGCTCTACGAAGCTTGGACCTCGAGGAAAAAGTGCACAAGACACAGTCGAGAGGCAATTGCGTCTCTGTTATGACATAGCAATTGCGCTCTCTGGTCTAAACACACAATGAAAGATATCGATGAAGTCTTTAATCTGTACAAGTACAAAATAATTACATACAAACACATTAAAAAGGTTTTGCAATACTGGTATTGTTGAAAGAAAACTACATCCAATATTCAGATCAATTTTCCATGCACTGCTCAAAACGGTCGATCTGAGAGTTTGGTTGGCTTCGCACAAGCTTGCTCACTTGTGAACGGTACTTGACTGTGTTTATTCCTCAGAATCAGAATAAGAGCAAATAATTATAAAATTTCGTTTGGTGTGCTTTCATCTGAGCCTTTGAAAACGGCTTATTGTACGTCTGCATCAAAGTATCTTCACCACTGGCCAACTAAGTATTTCTAATGCTACTCCTGTCTTACAACAAAATTGATTCAAATATACAGTTTAACTTTCAACACATTACTTTAAATAGTTGAATAAGTGTTTGGGTGGCACAAGCTTGCTTGCTCGTAAAATGTACTTGGTTGTGTTTATTGCTCAAAAGCTAAATAGGAGCAAATAGTTCTCAAGATTTTGTTTCGTGTGCTTTCATCTGAACCTTTGAAAACTTCTTGTTGTACGCATTCATATATCACATCATTCCAACTCAACAGCTAATGGTCACGATACTCATGTCTTGCAAACAAGAGTTGCTCAAGTTGTTGTTTTGAGCTTCCATGCATTACTTCAAAAGGTTGGCAAGAGTGTTTAGTGGCACAAGTTTTCCTCTTCGTGATACTTGGCTGGGCTATCACATAGAAGGTGTACATTAGCAAATATTTCTCCACGATTTGTTTTGTGCACTTTTGACTGAACCTTTCAAAGCGGCTTGTTGTATGCTTGCATGTATAGCATCATCCCCATTGGTCAGCTATTTGTAATGGTACTCTTGTCTTGCAAATAAAAGGGGCTCAATTTTTCATTTTGAGTGTCCATGTATTGCTTAAAATGGTTCATGAGAGTGTTTTTGTGGCACAAGAATGCTTGTCTGTGATACTTGGCTGTGTTTATCACTCAGAAGGTGGACAAGAGGAAATAATTCTCCCCGCTTTGTTTTGTGCGCTTCCATCTGAACCCTTGAAAACAGCTTGTTGTACGGATTCATGTACCGCATCATCCCAACTGAACAGCTAATGGTCACGGTACTTATGTCTTGCAAAGAAGAGTGGCTCAAGTTGTTGTTTTGAGCTTCCACTCATTGCTTAAAATAGTTGACAAGAGTGTTTAGTGGCACAAACTTTCTTGTTCCTGACGCATGGTCGTGCTATCACAGAGAAGGTGCACAATAGCAAATAATGCTCCACGCTTTGCTTTGTGCACAAGATGCTCATGTGCTGTGACATGAGTATTGTTACAAATAGCTGTCCAATGGGGATGATGCTGTACACGTAAGCTTGCAACAAGCCAATTTCAATGGTTCAGATGGAAGTGCACAAAACATAGCGTGGAGAATCATATGCTATTGTGCGCCTTCTCTGTGATAGCCCAGCCAAGTATCAGGAAGAAGAAAGCTTGTGCCACCAAACACACTCATAAACCATTCAAAGCAATGCATGGAAGCTCAAAACAACGACTTGAGCCACTTTTGTTTGCAAGACATAAGTATTTTGACCATTAGCTCTTCAGTTCGATTGATGTGGTGCACGAATTTGCATTGTTTGAAATATGTTATCTGAGTAATTGTGTGACACAAACTTGCGCATTTTCTGCTTGCCTGTTTTGAGTTTTCTTTAAAGACCTAGAAAACGTCATTTGAAGACATCTCTCTAATTTTATTGAGGGACGTAATCTTGCAGTGCCATGCAAGCATGGTTTAAAGAAAACGTTGGTGTAGTGTAACTGCAGAGAGAATTCATTCTTCAAAGAATTGAAGAGAAGTGTCTAGTGTTAGCCCTTTTTATTTACTTTAAGGAAGTATTACACTCATAAAACAAAACCAAGAAATACCTTGTGTCAAGCTTGAATTTCCGTAATATGATGGCAATTGAGTCTTATAACTTGTGAATTCTTATGCGTCACTTTGACATCAGCATGTTAATATTGATTAGCACTCATGAGAAACACTGGATCCTACGCCAGCTAGGAGTCACATAGAGAAGCATACTGGTTTGTTTCTTGTTTAACTTATTATTAACATGACTGTTAGTATATATTACTCATTTTGTTTTGCACACTTATGCATGGGTGTCAGTAAGGGGAAAAAATTGGGGTAGTTGTCCCCCTCAAGCCTCACTAGCACTTGCACCCACCCAAGCTATGGCTGTGCTTTCGCCCTACACCAGCCATTTTCACCCCTCAAGAGAGAATCCTGCCGATGACCATGCACTTATGGCACCGATAATACAGTTGTGTGAGAGAGCTGATCTCAAGGTGTGTGCTCCTCGGTCATGCGGCTTCGCTGTCTGCGTTGGAGGGGTAACCGATAGATCGAAGACGAGAGAGTAAGCGCGGAGTCTGTAGATATCAAGAGCGACTGCAGCCTCGTTTGCTTCCTCAGTCACACAGGCTGTCTCCCCACTCCTCGCTTTCGTTCCTTATGAATGAAGTTTGTGCGCATGCAGTGTGGCAGGCTTCGATTGTCCTAAAGTGGCTGTAGGCGTTCCGCTTAGTTCGCGGCTCCTTGAATGCACATAGTGGTGTGCGTGAAGCTTGAGCACTGGCAGTTTTAGTGGCAACATGTAGCGAATTAATGTTATGTTTCTACAACTGCGGAGTGCATGTGGCTGCAGTTAGCATTGCTTCAACAAGAAGCTGCGCGTTGAATGTGCGTTAAGTAATATCGTAATCTTCGTAGAATTTTTGGTTAGTGAAAAATTTCTAAACAACACCACACACTAATTACAGGGCCCAGACGAGAATATCTCTACCATTACTCTGTGTATTGAACAAAAAATAGTCAACATCTCGCAGATCTGCGCTTTATGCTTTCGTCGTTAATCTAGATTAACACGGACGAATTTTATTTTTTATGTGTTTTTTTTCTGTTGGTCTCCTCGAAGTTGGGTGTACTGGTCGCGTTCTTTTGGCGATTATGTATGCTTATGTACGCCAGTTAACGTATGCCGTCACGGCATGCTGCTGAACAATAATCAGCTGGGAAGCTTAGTGAAGTTCAAAAAAGCTTTTTTTTTCCACATGCTCTCCGCTGTAGGTAGGTCCAGTTCGTTACTGCGTCGATGAGATTCAACGGGATCATCGCAGAATGCTTAACTGCCATTTGCATTTTTGCGCGACCGGATGTTTACGAGCTATAAGTCAACACCACCTGACAGCCGCACTACGGAAGCCAAAATACAAATTTTTGGTAGCGTGAAAAAAAAATCTATTGAGACCAATCAAACTTACTACATGCTTTTTTATGCGCGCAAAAAAACGTGAGTTTATGAATTTGAAATTGTGTCAATGAGTTTTCTCTTTCTCGCCAGCTTCGAGTTTTTTTTTTTCATTGTAACTGCGGGAGAGTCGGTTAACGACAAGCGGCCAAGACAAGCCCATTTCGGAGTCATTCGTCGTCAATATGGCGCTTGCAGGTTGTGCGAAGGGGTTTGTTGCTTGTCTTGTGCTACCGGATTTAAACGTTTCCTGTGTGCAGCCTCTATGCCTCTTCGAACTGTGCGGCAGGTGTGAAACAGATGTGGTTCAGTAAAACCGTGAGAAGTCATTTGAAATGCGGGGTGCACCAAAAGTCACGTTCGTCATTTGCGGAGACGGTTACCGCGCCGTTGTGGACAACCTCGAGAAGTGCTTCATATCGCTGAGCGTTGCCGATATGGCAAAAAAGGCCATTATCGGCAAAGTGAGCCGGGTAAGGACATCAAGAAGAGCTGCTATTACAGGGATGTCCACCTTCTTTGAGGTGAGTGTCATTTATTTTCCATGACGTTTTCCGCTGGCGTGCGTTTAGGCGAACAAAGGAGGACACAAACGAAAACATGTTTGAGCGCGTGTGTGGTTTTATTTTTTTATGTGGCACATTTATATCCGTGGTGTTGTGGATGTTGGCATGCTGCACCTGATCCGCGCGCTCGTGTCCCAGGGGGATCTTTCGATCGCAATCATGACCGATCTGGATCAAAATGTTGCAAGGTTTCCATTTGGCGTTGCATAGTGGTTGCCAGACTGGAGGGTGGTGTTGCCAGACCTGCCCAAAATGTTATGTGCGGCTGCACAGTGACCTAAGTTGTAGCTGGCACTGTTGATCGCGATCAAAAAAACCGCATTCCCGGGTCGGCCCTGATGGGGCTGGGAAATGGTCCGGTGTGACACTGGTAAGAGTTAATATATATGAAGACAAGTCGACGTCGCTATTCCTGATGGCAAAACCTGCACTACATTGCATTTATTTATTGTTTCGCATATAATAGTCACACATTCTACGTTTCATTTGTGTGGTTATGTTATAGTAGCCTGCTCTCACAACTTTAGTGTGTTCTCTGATTAAACTATTTTTACTGACCTCGTGCAGATGGAGAAAAAAACGACTCGCCGTGCAACACAATCTTTTCTACCAGAGTGACTGTGAAAAGAACGTCAGAACTTGGAAGGTAAATGTGGTTTAATAGTAAAACTTATTTTAACAACATATACAAAATGCTAACTTCCAATGTCCTGGTTGCTTTCACAAGCCGCACGTCTATACAATAGTCGCTCATTCATGTACATTTGTGCTAATTGGCTAGGCAAGGGTCACTCATTCTATGTTGCAATTTTTTTTTTCAAGTTCTGTTCGGTCGTGAAGTAGTAACCAGAGCGAAAATGAAGACTGCTTAATTTGAAACGTTTAGGTACATATACCAGCTACATCTGTACATATTTGCCATTTTGATTCAGACATTTGACAGTGTGTAGCACCAACTCATTAATTTATTTATTCACAATACTGCAGCCTAGCATAGCCCAAGCTGCAGTGGAATTACAAGAAAGGAGAATGGTACAGAAATAATTAGTAACAATACTGGCACCACACGTAAATACGTCAGTTTTGCCGGGAGATTCTTACAAAGAAAAAGAACAGCACTATAGTTAGCAACCACACTTTTGACTTAGTAATGTAAGAGTCTCAGTGATTAGTATTCAGCACAACAATGTTGATCAAGGGCTTCATCAGAACTGTCTGCCTTGCAACTTCCTTTACTCTCCGCCTAGAAGTTCAGTAAGCGAGTCTGCATCAAGCAGCAGAGCGAAGAACAGGACCTGGGTGAAAGCACAGGCCTCCTAGCCAGCATTTCATGTTAGCAAAAATATGGCAATCAGAGATAGCTAAGTTGAGTCTGTATGGTGTTGGGCGACTGAACTTCCCGCTGCTTCCTCTGTGGCCCCTTGTTGTCATGAAAAAAAAAAGACAGTGTCTTATGTCTCTCTTTTGCTTATTCTTAATTGCGCTCTGTAGACATTTGAGAGTTAGACCTACAATACTGCAGTGAGGGTCATGCCATGTCCCATGAATAAGTGAGGCATAAACTTGCAAAGGCTCATGGGATTCATGCCATCTGCACCAGCTACCATTTCAATGGCTCTCTGTGTGCTGCATCACTCCTTGAGTATTGGCGTTTATCCGTGTCACTCGCTTTCTTCATGGTAACCCGACGCATATGCTGCAAATTTCTAGCACACAATAGCATGGCCGCACCTACGACTGACCACAAAAGAGAAGCATGTGCTGTGATTGCCAAATAATATTTTCATTTGAAGTGGCAAACAACCGACTGTATGTGCTATCACAATTATGTGTTTTCTTTTAAGTGGCGTGGCCTTGGTTGTCACGTCTTTCAACTAATTTTACACTTGCATAATAATGCACATCACCGACTAATGTGCTTATTTTTGCGTGTTTGCCTCAGTGAGGGCGCTCAGCTGTTTTTGCATTTGCAATTGAAACACTCTGTCGCTGTCTCAGATTGTTGGATATATAGTATCTTGTATCAACGTTCACCATGTGCAATGAGTATCATATGTTACTAAAACTACGTGTTCAGCGTGACGGCCTGGTAAAATGTTCAAATGTTCATGAATGACATCGACTTTTATTTAGTAAAGTCGAGCTTCTTAGGCGTTTCGGCATTGCATCGTTTTTGTGAACAAGCTGGTATAGGCGATGCTCACCTCACAGTCAGGCACCGTGTTTGTTAAGCCTTGTTACCTGTCCTGCTCGCATGTGCACCAGATCAGGTATGAATAAATTTACTACGTAATGAATGCTTGGAGGAACAGTTGAAATCACTAGCAACACATTGTATACCTGTTCTATATATAGAATAGTGGAGCGCCCTTTCTTGTCTACATAGCATTACTGACACATCATTTTTCCAACTGGTACGAAGTCGTCGCCTTCTTAACCACTACTAATTGTGTATACATCACTGCAATTGGTGCCGTGGATTCCACGGTGTCACCCCTGGCATGATATCGTGCGGCTGTTGGCTGCTCTGTCTTGCTGTTTTCTGTATCAAGCTCAGAGCTGGCTGCACGTTGCATAGCGGCCGTGCATTTTAAAACAAATGCCGTATGCTTGTCGTAGCTGTGTAGATAGTGATTGTGGTTGTGCTGATAGAAAACTACACATCCAAACGACTTTTGTACTTCAGTCTTGGCGCCAATATCGACGTGCCAATATGTTGATGGCACGTAGTCAACCTGCCATGGATCTCTGCTTGGAGCGCCTGTACATAAATACCGGATGTGTCAAACGAAACCATCCATGCAGGATTGTCGATAAATATTACTCACCTTACGCTAGGCATATACCACTCACCATGTCTCTCCACAAAATTTCCTTCAATTTTCTATCTTTGTTCCAAGGGAATCTGAACATTTTTTCCCGTTTGGCACTATTTTCGACAGCTGCACAGCCGACTATGATTGTGCAAATGACTAGATTTCAACACAATTGAAAGAAAAGCCCTGTCTACGTCTCCAAAAGCGTGGCCAGCGAAACAGCGTGTCACGAATATCTTTAACTAGGAGCCGATGCAGATGGCAAATCTCATGAGTCTTTGTGGGTTTAAGCCTCACCTATTTTATCAAGGAAACACCACCATTTATCTCCCCAAACACAGCAGCCATGCACTTCTTCTTGGAGAAGGTTCACTTGAATTTCTTTGCGCTCATCGGAATGCTTCTGTTTGTATTGCACCTTCAGTTCTGGAGTACATCATGGTAGTGCCAGAGAAATGTCAAAATGGCACCCGTTTATCGTTTTGTTTTCATGACCAGTCAGCATTTTAGGAACTGACTGCACGCAGTTTGCAGCACTAGAGTCTCACTCTGTGTCCAACCATGGTATACCATCTGTGCTGTATTGAGCTGACTGCAATATTTTGGGAAATGAATTACTCAGCCCAAAAATTCTGACCCCATGATTTTACCGAATTATCTGATCCGTTCAGTCAACAAAATCATAGTTTTACACTTGCTTCATTCCCAGTCAGTTTGCATTGTAAATATTGTACATCATGCTTCTAATTTCCTACACTATTGCAGTGCCTTGCTGTCATGTATTGAAAGTGGTGCTGTACACATTGCTCAATATTCGATGAATTTCAGCTGCACTGCACTGCTCAGCACCCTGAAATTGAATTCTAGCACACATTTCACACTTATCCGAGGCATGCTTACATGGGTTTTGCGTCAAGAACTGAAAGCTGTGACCTCATAAGATAGACAGGCACACTAAAGAAATCGTACAACACATATGCGTTGCATCATGAAATTTTAATTGCTTTTTATTCGGAGGCCAGTTTGACTTTGAAAAATATAGGCATTGTATTTTATGAGCTGAAATGTATCTCCGGAGTGTCAACATGCCAAAGCAAGCTTCTCAAGTTATACTCATGCTGACTCTATGTTTGTTACGTTCATGAAGCAGTTAATTTTGTAATGATTTGCATAAATTCATGTGGCTAAATCACTGCATAAACATCAGTCTGCAAATATGATGTGCAATTATTGCATAGTTATAAATTAAGGAGCACATGCAGCTGTTGCGGTCAGCAACACAGCAGACAGTATGATATTCAAGTGAATATTCATGGCTACCTATGAAGTAATATATGACTTAGTAAGGTAGTTACTGCAACTCTAGTCTTGAGGTACGTGTAACTGGAAAGTACAGACTTTGTAGTATGTTGTGTTTATCGAAAAATTCTCAGCAAGTGCTCCTGGAGAGTGAATGATAATTCGACAAGGTTTGAAGAGTAGGCTCTTGCTCAGTCATCGGTCAATATTTAACGTGGAAGTGGAAGAATCACTGAGAATAAAAAATGCACATCTGTGCGTCTACTTAAGCACTTTCTTGAATGCCCATGCATACACGGCTTTATTTCGCATTCACTCGGCAAATGAAAACAGTGAAGATGGTGGTAGAGGAGAAGAGGCTACTTATTTAGCACCTCTATTTAGCAAGAAAGTAGGGAGGTGCTTGCTCTGTTAGGAGTGCTTACTCTGGATTTTATGGCATTTAGAGCGTCTCTACTGAGTGGTAATGTTTTAGGTTTATATATACACTCCCAACACCCCCCACCCCACCCCTCCAAAAAAAAAGTCGCAGAAGGCAGCGATTCAAGAAAAAAAAAGAGCCCTGTAGGATGGCTCTGGCAATTAGAAGCTTGTTTGATTGAGCCTCCTCCAAAAAGAGAAATTTTTTACAATGTAACAAGTGGATTGAGCAACAAATAGAGGCTTTGGAGGAAAGGAATGGCAGACTTCAGAACCCCTCTCAGCCATAGGTCGGCAAACTCCCTCACAAGCCGAGTCACTCAAACTCGGATTGGGCCATAAATGAGAATCTGAATGAGCCATATGTGCAAATGCATTTTGCGATTGAGTGAGCTTCACTTTTTTTTTTTGGTCGGCCTGTGCTTTCAACACACCTTCGACAATTTAAAGATAGAATTTTCGGTGAGCCTGTAGTTCGCGCTCTCTTCTTTTTCATTCATCTATAGTTAACACTGGCCCATCTTCCCTATGTAGGTATGGCCGAAGCTAAAAGGAACATGTTACTTTACGCCTGTATGGTAATCAACAAAATTTTTGGTGTGTTTACGAAACAAATGTGAGTCCAGCTTCTTGTCCCCTCTCGATGTTTTTCAGCATGACATTATATCTCGCCTAGTACCTAGTCTATTGGTGGCCATAATGCATTTATGTTGTATCTGTTTATCACTCTCTTTAGCCCCTGAGCTATGTTGTGAATGTAGGTACTACCCACGACACACCCTTTACATGCTACGCTTCTCGCTTATTATGTTCACAGAAGTCCAACATAAATCTCTACCAACAAGCTCAGCTGTCCATTACTCTAAGTTGCAAATTTCTATAATGTAGTGAACATTCTTTTTCATGATTTCTTAATGCCTATTATCTGTCACCCCTTAGGTTTCAGTGATATCCTCCAGGTCAGGCACCTTCGGCAGAAACACTGCAGCTGCTGCTACCACCACCACGACCTATATTCACTTCAGCCATTGCTGCATCACAACCAGTATTACAACTTCTGAGCCGCTACCACAGTCCTTCCCAATGATGCCTCACCTTGACAGGGCTTCACATGCTTCAAGAAGAAGCTGTCAGGCAAGTGTGTACTGTTAAGAAATTTAGCTTTCAATAGCACTGATGTTTTCAATGGGCAGAATAATTGACAAGTCTGCCAACTTCATGCTTCTTGAACAGGGTTGAAACTACGTGTGTCTGTCAGTGTAGGGAACCAAGTTTATGTGAATTTCGAAGTAGCTTATTTTTATTTTATTTTACAATATTGCAGGCCCCTTCTCGGGCCAATGCAGGAATGGGTTGAACTTGAATACACAAAAATGTGAGGAAAATAAATCGAACTTATGTACAAAGCAAGTAAGAGCAAGAAATATGCACATTGTATAGTATACAGGTGTTCAGATAAGTTCTGAATTCTGTTCATAAATTTGACAGAAGAGCAGTTCACTAATATAGCGGGCAGCATATTCCCTTGCTACAGAACTAAATAATATTTGTAAGGGTTATGTTATTAATTTTGTGTATGAAGGAAGCAGGGTAAGCAAACGTTAGAAGAAAGTACTTTTTCATTGTTTACTAGATATGAAAGCAGATTCTTTTTCTACAATTTTCGTGTACCGTGCAATCCTGAGCGAGTGCTCCCACTATGGTGAAGGTGACGAGAATTGGAGGGGGGGGGGGGGTTCTTGCTCGGTCTTGCATCAAAAAATCAAGATTATGGTGAAAAAGTCGCATGTGCTTCCAACGAAACTGATACACTTTAATAAATATGCATGAATTCACTATGATTCTGCAACCTCGTTGCGCTTCTAAATAAAGGAAGTGAAGGAAACTACAGAAATGGCAAAAAGGCGGGGGGGGGGGGAGTGCTTGCTCAGTTGTTCGTACATGTTTTAAATATCTTGAAAGAGAGAGGATGGAACTTGCTTATGTTGGGGCGCTTGCTTGAGATATTACAGTATTGTCCTCATCCTGCGTATCTTTTTTTAATCAACTGAAAAAAGCGACCTGAAAGCAAATGGCCCTTTTATATATGGTATATTTGTAGCTTATTTTCTTTGTAAATTGACGAAAAGCATGAAGTTTAGCATTTTTTAGCAAAAGAAAAGGCTGTCCAACTAGTGTTGTTTAAGCATTTACCGAAGTCAGACACAGTGAAATAGATAAGGTGGCACAGTAAAAAAATAGGTCAGCACAGAAAAAAAATGTGCAATTTTCATTGCATAAGTAGAACTCCATCTTCTCGAAATGGCATTTTTTGTTATGTCAGTATGATAATTTTAAAATGGCAAAAGATGTCATGCTGATTGTTTGTGCACGTACTCAAGCAACACATGGTGGTGTACTGAACTGAACTTGATCCTTTAGAATAACTTTCATTTGATCTTAAAGAAAGTGTGCAAAATGTCCAAAATCATGTACAGGAGCAAAAAATGCAATTTTTTAAATAAAGTAAACCATACTTTGGTTCGGTCAATAGAACGCAAGGCTCTGAACAAATTAGTATAAACTTCTGGTTGCTATCATTACATGCTCAAAAATGATTACAATAGGGTAAAAAATACGTGGAAGTCTGGGACTTGCCGGTCTTCTCTAATCAACACAGTGCTCTGAAGTAAGGCAGTGTTTACATACACCCGCAGAGCTGTCATATTCAATAATGGCAAAGTAGATACATAGAGCAGAAAAGTTATTGTCGCTACCCCTTAATTGGAGGCAGTGACCGGGTAGACTCCAATGGCTGACTTAACATCCCCCAAAATGCACTGCTAAAGCTTGAACAGTTTAACATCAGGCCCTTTTAGCAGGGGTGCAGCAGCTGTGCCAATCGCGCCAATTTGATACAATTCCCGATTGTTGCACCGAGCTGGGCCAAACCCGTGAAATTGTTAAAATTGCACCACGCTGCGCCAAAATGCCCAGCCAGCCTCAATTTTTTTTCAGGTGTACTAATTGCGGTGAGCAATGCAGGCCATGTCGGCCACCTGCAGCTTTGCACCATCACTAAAAGCGTGCAAACCCGAAGTAAACTGCCTAGAATATACCTAAAATAATCTAGCCACCCACACTATGCTCGTGAGACGTGATCGACCTGATAAAGTAACAACACTGCATGTCTATCGGTCCGCTGACCACAACAGATACGTATCGGCGGGATAGCAGAACTTTAAAACAAAAATGTGTTGCGCCAACCCTTCGCGCAAAATGTAAGTTCTCTTGCCAGAAACGCGGATATGGCTTAATAATGCTTCGACGTGCTGTAAATGCCGGTGTTGATTACCTTAGCAGTGGCAAATAACAAATTTTGGCTGGAAGCTGCGTCCTTGCCACGGTCTTGGCGATAGATATCTAGTACCAACGCCGGGGCAACGGGGGTGCGCCGTTGTTACTTTATCTGGTCAAACTCGTCTTGCAAGGATAGCCGAAGCGGCACATAGCCCCATGCTGAAAAGGGTGGGTGGGAGGGGGGTGGTGAGCGGTAAGAAAATTTGTTGACTTTCGTTCTAAAGCTGCTTGAGTCACCTTTGCCGCACTAGACCGGTGCCTGCGAAAAAGCGTGTTGAGATTTACAAGGGGCTGTTCGCGATACTGGGACACTTCACATCTTGCTCAGTTACTCATGCGTTTGTACACCATTAAATTCTGAGTACCAGTATAATTACTGACGTATAAATAAGCTACTGTCAATCATTTGAAGCAGTGTGTGACATTTATGCTTCTCTACAGAAATAAACTAAATTGTGCGCCAATTTTTTTTTCACCACCTCTACTTCTCGTTTTTACGAATCTTCCAAATTTCAAGCTCACAATATCGGCAGATTGATATTGAAATTCTCAGAGTTTGTCAATTGATTTAACAGGTGCAGTAAACGCTAATATGGACTTTATCATTGGTTCCTTAGCGAGGTGGTTCAAAATACTACTTCATTGAAATAGTAGTAAATAGTATGCTCACACTACATAATTTAGGTTATGTTGAATTGTTTATACATGTTTTTTCTCTAAATGTAAGCCACCTTTTTTTATAGTGCTCCAAATTCGCTATGTCATGATAAAAATGCATGTTCTTTTTTTCCATAACCAGCTCCGAACTTGGAATTTAGTGCTCCAAAAGTAACATTTTGCTGCTCCAAAAATTGCTCCAAATGCTATTTCGGCTGTTGTACCCCTGTTTTAGCACGCCAGCAAATGCTGGTTGGGGTCCAAAGATAAAGTCTTAGCTCAGAGTTTTGTTACAAGCACGAAGCAATGAAGGAAATAGGAGCAAATGGGAATGCTATACAAAGATTAGCACTTAACTCTTCAGATTCCATTTCACAAAACGAAACACTGGTTAAAGTCAATGTCAGTGCTGCTGAGAGTGAGTGGGTTTTTGTGCTGTCGGTAGTCTCAACGAATAGAAAGTGCTGAGAGCACACCACGTAAACAAGCCGTGTAGTGATATTTATCCAAATAGCACGCACCAGCACTCATAACTGCGCCCTTATGTTCAATGGTAGCAGCTGTTGAAAGTGTCCATATAATTGCCATTGCAATATTTTATTCTAAATGAATGGCTAGTTAAATCACTGGACAACTCAAGTGGGTTAACAATGATGGTGAGACAATCATCAAGTATTACTCATCGCAAGCATGAAACTCAGGCACTCCAGAATATTCAATCCTTCAAGCAATGATTTCATCACCAGCCCGACTAGTCCCTCCATGTAGACTGCAGTATTGACCAGGAGCTCCCCTGCTGCAGTCGGTGAATACTTGTTACTCCTCAGTGTCGAGACTCTCTTTCAAAACACCTCCTCAGTGACTGCACAGCATCATCTATAAAATCTTCATCATAGACCGACTGACTGATGCCCTATTAAGGTGCTATTAGGAGCTGTTTTGTATGCAAAACATCACACTGCATTGTTTCAAATTTTTTCTGGTCAGTGTTTTTCTCGGCAGCGATGTAAGATGATCGATGGTACTACTTAATAATGTAACACTTCTCTGGACAACCGAAGAACTCTTCTATATCATAACACATTGCCTTACCAGCTGAACCACTTCTGCATTTACCCTGTCTCTGCGTGCTTATATTGAGCAGCACCCTGCATAGGTTAAAAAGAAATCTGCGAATCATTCACACTCACTCATGAAATATATTTTTTCCTTAGGCCTTACTAGTGGACTCAGACTCGCTGCTCATTGCAAGTCTGACAAGTCTGGTGAGTAGACTTCCGAGTCCGTTAAAATATGATGATCTTTTCCACACATGATTTCAATGCTCCTTAACAGCAATGTGTTGCATAATTGGTGCTCCAGTTGATGATCTTTTCCACACATGGTTTCAATGCTCCTTAACAGCAATGTGTTGCATAATTGGTGCTCCAGTTACAACCTTTCAATCTCAGACCTTTATATAGTGACTGCAACCCAGTAAGGTAATCTCTATTCAAAGAGATGGCACCTCAGATATTTTATGAGAATGTCCCGGGAAGAAATTCACAGGAGGGCATGTCAAGGAACCTCGACTCCCCCCCCCCCTCTTGTAGTTCTGGCCTCTCAGCTATAAATATTGAGTCGGTGCACAAATGCTTGTGCATTGAGATATGTGTGAGCTGTGAAAACTGAGAGCTCAAGGCGCGATTTCATGTGGAGGGAGGCCGCTACACTGCCACGAGACACTGCAAGGTGCCAGCTGGAGCACCTATTATGCAATATATTGCTTTTATGGAGCACTGAAACTATAGGTGAAAAAGATAATCATATTTTAACGGACTCGTAAGTTGACTCACCAGACTTGGTCATTGGTCACTAACAGCACAAAAACCCTTCACTCTTGGGAGCACTCACATTTGCTTTAACCAGCGTTTTGTTTTGTAGAGTTAAGTGAGATTGAATCCAAAAGAGGTTACTGCTAATCTCGATTCTCAATTGCTATGATTCTTGAACAAGGGTGCCAATAGTTGCCATTTGCACCCTGGTTCGAGGAATATTGACATGACTCATCCATGCATAGCAAAACAAAGGCAAAGCCTTGAAATGAATAAGTTTCTTGCATGCTTTTTTCATAGCACTGTAGCAGCTTCTACATGACATTGTGTCCTGAGTTCTCATTTTTTGGGGGGCTTTTGCACCAGCATTTGGTGTGAAGCATGCTGGCTATTGCGCGGTGCCTTCTTTCAGAGGAGGGTGCAGGAGCATGCATGCTTCAGAGAAACAGCTGTTGATAGCTCGTGTAGCTGCAAAGGGCTCATTAGGGGCTATGCTTGGGGGCTTCTTTTTTAATGCTGTTTAAGTGCTCATTTGTGTCAGCTGTGGTTGCATGCTTGTGTGGAAGCACCTTATTTTATGGCTGACTTAACTATCCACTTTTTTGCTTTTTGGGGGGCAGCACCCAGGGGGGGGGGACTGCCGCTTACAGTTCTGGCCCTCATAAATAACAAAGTGGGCAGCTTTGCTTTTTTTTTAATTTTTGTTTGCTGTTGATGCATTAATACTCATCTCTACCAGTTCCACGACATTCCTCATACAGCCTGAATATGCCATTTACTACTCCTGCAGCTTGCACTTATCTTTTTTATATCCATGTACTGTATTTGCTCACATAATAATTGTATTTTCTTCATTTTTGGACAATTTACTGATATAAAGGTGTGGTTTGTACAGTGGGTAAAGTTTTGGAACAGGTCGACTAAATTTAAAACTGGAAGCTGGAATTGTAATGACTACGTTGTGCCATAACAAAACCATATCAGGTTGAAGATTTCCTACCTTCAAGTTACAGGCACATGTTCGCATTGCCTTGTAATGCAGAAGCCCTGAAAAGCCTTTCCAAGTAATCATCAAATGTCTTCATTAGAGAAACTTAATTCATCCTAAATCGACTGTTGCAAAAAATTTTGCAATCTGCGAAATACTAGCGGAGCTACAGGAATTCGTCACATACTTTACGTGCTTTCTTTCACCTTTCGTTCGAGTGAGCTCACTCAAAGCCACGCAGGAGGGTATGACTGGGGGACAAGAAGCTATGCCTATTTATCAACGTGCGTCCTGAAGTTGAGCTCTTTTATCCCCCCCCCTTTTTTTTCTTCAAACATGGGGCTTCTTCTCAGTGTAATCACGAACATGTGCACGGGCATAAGGCAGCCTCCGGTTGCGGTTGTACACATTGCACTTGAAGCGCAGTCAGTTGAATTTGGAGCCTTATTTGTTTAGGGGAAACAGCGTTTTTCAGGTGACTGATAATAAATTATGAATTACAGGCTGCGTGTTGCCCCATCATGTCTGTCTCACATGCTCTCAGGTGCCTCGACTACCCTCGGCAGCATTTTCTGACCATGCTCGAAAAGGGTTGCTGGGCCACCTAAACTGCTTCATGGAGAGTGTTGTGTTTACTATACTGAATTTGTGAAAGAAATGCCCATTTTAGCATGCCTAATTCCTGTATATCTGCCATCTGCTACACTTTATAAGAACAATTTGAAAAAGATTTAAGTGATGACAGTAGATGATCGAGGCCCTTAAATTGCTGGACATTAAATGTTACCGTCAAGGCACTCAAAGAACAGGAGGAAAAGGTCGCTCTGGTGCAAGTGTGCCCTTAATTGGCTATGCTTTATATGGTTTTGCCTGCTTCAACATCATCAAAGTGCTTGAAGAACAAGAAGAATAATTCTCTGTGGCAGGAGTGTGCGATAAAATGCTCAACTATTTCTGGTTTTCCCACTTCTCTTGAACTTTATAGTATGTGTGCCAAAGTGAATTCTAATATTGAAGTGTGTGTGCAAATTGAATATTTTCTGAAATTTCTCGAATACTTCTAGAATTTTTTCAAATACTTCATGTGAAATTCTAGAAAAAGTTGGAGAGGCTTCCAAAGTTTATTCTTATGAGATGAAAGTCTTCCTTTTCGCAAAATTGATAAGTGTTGGTAGGGTAGCGTTTCCTAGTTGCCTTATAAAGAATAAGGCAATGCACAATTGAATTTATATATGCACAGATGTGTTCATATGCACGATTTCATGCAGCCAAAGAGTTGATCAAATTTCAGGTCAAAAAGCAGTATAAGTAAGCCCTTGTCTCTGCCACACCTATCTTCTCCTTTTTAGAATCAGCCTTTTCTAGAGTCAGTACATTTGCGACCGTAGCAGAGCCAGAAATTCAGCTTTCATGCAATACGAGTGTGATGAGGTGAAACATATTAAAAATTTGGAGGGTCCCTTTCAGTCAGACATTGACCCAATTTTTTGTCTCTGGTAAGTTATAATAGTTCAAATAGCAAAATTTGCCGTACGAATTGAATCAAATAGCAAATATTATTCAAACGATATTCAAAAATATGAATATTTGCGTACCCCTACTTATTGTTTACTTCAAATGTTTACCCCATTTTTCGTTCTCAGTAGAAAAGACATGTGCCCTTCTAAATGCTGTGCTAAGGCCACAGATCACAACTCATGCACGTGCCTAGAGCTCCACGCATATTCTTCTGTGAGACCTTCTATTTAGCTGTTTGAATTCAAAATTGTGAAACCTCGTGGATCAATTTTCACTATTGAAACTTCATTTTTTGAAGTAGTTATGCTAGTAAGTTTTAAGTGTTAAAGCAACAATTTGAGGGTGAGTGTAACGATGTTAACTCCCACACACAAGAAAGAAGGATCACAGAGACATTTTTCCCCTGCAGGTTCATTTGAGAGGCAGAAGAAGGAGCAGTGGGCTTGGCTGCGGTCGTAATGCAAGGAGGCTACAAAGCTCCTGTGGAGTGTCCTTCAGCTTCAGAACAAGAGCCTCATAGTAGCCCCGCATTGGAGTATTTGTGCATCAAGAGGACAAACAAGTGCCCCTGAACGGGGCTCTGACAGCGAGAAATTTGGAGGTTGTGGCTAGTGATTATTGCTTAAAGAGGTACTGACGCAAATTTTTGTCTTGCAATATTAACATTGTTGACAGCCTATTAGTCACAATGTGGTGGATTGCTTGCTGCAGCATGGGACAGATGGACAATTGCTGTCTGTTTATTACAGACTAGTTTTAGCTTGGCACAGCTCTAAGAACACGAGCCACGGAATGCAACAAATGCCAACTAGTGTGCTAAATGGTACACATAAAACGGGGCTTCCAGGTGTAAGTAGCACTTGCACAGCAGGTCTATCAATATTGAAAGTGGACGGTGACAACCGACACAGTAATCAAGGCGCTGGGGCAAACAGCTCCCGCTCGGCGCTTCTGGCTTAAGAGATGGCCCACCATGGCGTATTGTTCTTCTTCCTTCTTACACACAGAACACTGACGCACTTCTGTGCTGCCTGCGTTATGTGCTCACATTGTTTTGCTGCTGCATATGCAGCACAATGTCGTTGTCGTCAAGTTGATCGTTCTCGTTCGGGTGCAAAGATTTTCTTGAGGCATCCTCACGTTCCACATGTTTACATTAGGCATGAACACAGCAGTCGCTGAATAGTAGCCTGCTAGCACAAGTGTGGCCAAAAGGCAATAACGACTATGATGTCAATAATGTAGCTGTGCCAACTCTGAGCTCAGCAACAATGGTGGCACCTGGAAGTTGGGACTCAGCTTCAGGTCACTTTCAGTGATTCAATGATGCGAGATGGGCATATAGCACTGGATCAGGCACGCAAACTTTAATATTCATATAATTGGCCGTCTGAGCTATAATTGTTCATCCAATTTGTAGATATATGTACGTTCAAGGGAATCAATGTCGCAGGCTATATTAGCCACAAAATTTTGTGTCAGTACTCTTTATGGTATTTTGCTTTATGTTTTAACTTACAGTTAAACAAATAAGTAAAGAATTTAGTAAGTTATAGTAATCATATAAATAAATTCGAGGATGCAAAAATATTTGTCTTGTTTTTCTCAAATGTCCCGACACTACACTACATACAACACTTCCACCCGTTTAGTCTACTGTACTTTCGAAGCACCATTAATTGCCATTGTGGCATATTCATGTTTTTTACACTATAAACTGGTATAGCCTTATTACCATGCTTAGACAAACATTACTTATGACCCTTACTACTTGCCCAAAGTAACCGGGGTTGTTCTGCAGAAGGGCTTGTTTTTGAGCTAGTTTATGCTTGCTTAAAATTATGTGGTGTGTGGTTTTGTGTGACTGTTCTCTCTTTTTTGCACTATATTATGATTTTCAGCAGGACCGGAGAATTCCTCGGACCCTTATCACCTATATTACCCATGAACCCTTAACTCCTGTATGGCCTGTATACCCCATATGCCCCATAAGCCCTGTATCCCCCATATGGCCCGTAATCTCTGTATCCCCCATTTGGCCCATAATCCCTGTATCACCTGTATCCAATAACATCGTATGATACGGGTCCTATCTGTACAGGATTTTTCAGTAGGGATGTCCGTATTTCGGTATAACCTTGGGCTGTATGTATTTTAATAATTCTCTATGGAAATGAGGATAAAGGATGCAATGTTTCTAGAACTGTCCGTTTTTTGAGGTTTGTTGCGGGAGCTGTTTATTTTTAAAGTACTATGAAACATTTAGTGTTTCAAATATATATCGTGGAAACCGAATATTTAATTACAAGAGATAGCGTTTTCGAGGAATGCTTTTTTTTCTTATGAAAGATTCATGGCGTTACCTAGACTTCATACATGCCACTGATGGTTGGCTAATGTCTATTGTCAATCCAGTTGCTACTGTAATTGAGTGGCAGTTTGTTTCCATAGGCCTCGTATTCTTTCCTCCTTGTCTCCGCTAAGCACTATTCATATTCATACACCGCATCTCCACCAAACATATTACGGAGAGATGGCAAGAGACAGGTGTATGTACAGTATTCACACAAAGTTATTGCGGCAACAGCAGTCAATATGGCGCAAACAAGAAACAAACCATCCTCCTCTTATTCGTCCTCTGATCAGTGGCACATATTATATTTGGATTTAAGTTGGTAATTATTTAGTATTGCATAGAAGTGCTATCTTTAATTGGTGTAATGCATCCACCGTTTAACCCTCAGTGTTGTCAGAAGTCATGTTAGCAGTATTTTCAAAACAAACGTTGACGTTTTCACACATGTGCTCCTTTATGTGCGCTCGGTTAGGAGACTGACACCCCTGGTGCTAAAAATTATTAAATAAAGCTGCTTCTGCAAACCTACGGAGTGTTTCAAACAAGTTCTAAATTTACCACAGCAGTGTAGTCAGAGTTTGTTAGCTGGGTAGCTGTTTAGGCTCACCATAATTTGTATGTCAGTAACAGATATGTTCGTCATCGTGAATCGGCACGAGCTCTATTTGTCCTTTTCATAATCATCTGCCTTGGTCCAAGTGCAAGGGTGGCAATTTCTCCGGCGCAGGATACAATAATTTAATGAGAGAGATAAAGAGTACAAAGATAAAGGTGGAAATATTGAAGAAAAATTGAGAGAGAGAAAAATACGGAAACAAAAAAAACCAAATTTTATTCTTGGTGAGGCGGAATTTGTACCCACTTCCTATTAGTCAAACCACAATACTTTGAGCCAAATGATTGTTCAGCCATATTAACAAGGCCTAACATATTTTTTGTAGTAATTATAGCAATGACTTGAAAAAGGAAATGAGACTGAAAAGAAGGAATGAGATGACGTAAAATAGGCAAAGAAATACGACAAAAAAGCAAAACATAGCATACGCAGAAGTATGCACAAATAAAAGTAACTTTAAAAAAAAAGCATCTCTAAGAAAGAAAGAAAAAGGGAGCAAGCGGTAAGTAGAAAGAGACAGAGAAATCGAAGAAGGTATAAGAAAAGCAGAAAAATCAAGAACAACAAAGTGGTAGAAAAATAAAAAATAATAAACCCAAAATTATGCCGTTTCCTCTAAGAGAAACATGTGCAGATGAGAAGAAGTGGGCGCTGACGCTTCAACTTGCGGTGATTTTAGCGCTCATAGTGGCGGTTTGCAGGAAATAAACCTGGGAGGGTCGCAAAGCATGCAGTGATGGACCGGTGTTTTCTACTGGAAGATGCGAAGCGCTTGGGGAGGCCCCACCCGACCACACACCAATCTTGACCAAGGCTCAAGGATTGGCTGTGCTTCCCATTTACAAGCGGCTCACAGATGAAAAGTTGCTGGTGCGTTGTATCCAAGGGAAGACCCAAAACGCTGCAGAATCTTTGAACAGCAAAATCTGGTTGTTGTGTCCGAAGACTAAGTTTGCCTCCCGGACAACAGTGGAAACTGCAGCTGCTATGGCCGTGTTGTGGTTCAATAAAGGACATTCAAGCTTTGAACACGTGCTAGAGGAGCTTGGTGTAGTCCCACCAGATCAACTGATCACCCTGGGCCGATCCCGCGACCAGAGGAGAATTGAAAGAATGTCTGCGTGTGAAACAGCCGAGGCAAGGGCCCATCGGCGGAACGTGGCAAAGAAAGCGCGCCTTGATGACTCCCTTCTCAAGCGGCGAGAAGGATCCACATATGGAGCAGGACAATTTTAGGTGCTCTAGCTGTGTCCCTTCTATGATATCACCAAGTTTTGTGCAAATCGCACTGTGTAATCATGAGTAAACATATTTACAACTTTCAAATGCATTTTTCTCGATTTCCATTTTGAGGTAATTCTCTCATCTTGTGCACAATCTTTTTTAGGCATAAAATAGTCCTATCTTGATGAAATTTTGCACAGAGCTTAATCAGCCACTCTAGAATACAAGTATCTACTTTAGGTTGCATTATACATCACAGATTTTTTGTTACACAACTTGATACACTGATAGAGAGATGTAAAATATGCATTTAGTACTTTTAATTTTTTTTTTTTAATGTAGCAAATAAATTTTCTGTTTGAGGTACTTTTCTGTATTGTACTGCTCAAGTGCAGCAAAATGAGCCATTTTGCAATTCTGTGTGAAAATTTTTAGTAAGCTTTATTATGTGCACAAAAAACACTATATTTTGATATCAAAGTTGTAGTAACTCCGGAACTACTATAGCTATCAAACAAATAATTGCAGTTATGAAATCAGCACTGCAAGCTTTACTAACACCTAAAATTTCAAGGAGCTGGGTTATGAAATAAAAAAAAACCTTTTTCGAGTAGCATCTCCCCTTAACATTGTTGACAGCCTATTAGTCACAATGTGGTGGATTGCTTGCTGCAGCATGGGACAGATGGACAATTGCTGTCTGTTTATTACAGACTAGTTTTAGCTTGGCACAGCTCTGAGAACACGAGCCAGGGAATGCAACAAATTCCAACTAGTGTGCTAAATGGTACACATAAAACGGGGCTTCCAGGTGTAAGTAGCACTTGCACAGCAGACTATCAATATTGAAAGTGGACGGTGACAACCGACACAGTAATCAAGGCGCTGGGGCAAACAGCTCCCGCTCGGCGCTTCTGGCTTAAGAGATGGCCCACCATGGCGTATTGTTCTTCTTCCTTCTTACACACAGAACACTGACGCACTTCTGTGCTGCCTGCGTTATGTGCTCACATTGTTTTGCTGCTGCATATGCAGCACAATGTCGTTGTCGTCAAGTTGATCGTTCTCGTTCGGGTGCAAAGATTTTCTTGAGGCATCCTCACGTTCCACATGTTTACATTAGGCATGAACACAGCAGTCGCTGAATAGTAGCCTGCTAGCACAAGTGTGGCCAAAAGCAATAACGACTATGATGTCAATAATGTAGCTGTGCCAACTCTGAGCTCAGCAACAATGGTGGCACCTGGAAGTTGGGACTCAGCTTCAGGTCACTTTCAGTGATTCAATGATGCGAGATGTGGCATATGGCACTGGATCAGGCACGCAAACTTTAATATTCATATAATTGGCCGTCTGAGCTATAATTGTTCATCCAATTTGTAGATATATGTACGTTCAAGAGAATGTCGCAGGCTATATTAGCCACAAAATTTTGTGTCAGTACTCT